TTCAATGGAGAGGAAACAACCATAGAGAACAACTGGAGAGCGATCACTTCAGCATGTCAGGAAGTTCTTGGCCACATGAAGTACCATCCATCACAGGGAATTAAACTCTGTTGGTACTCTTGAAAAAATTCACGAGAGGGGAGACTGGATGGCGGGGAGCAGGGAAAGACAAGAAACAAGTTGGATACACACAAGCAGAAAGCAAGCGAAGAGTAACATTAGAGCCGACAAACGTAAACATGTCGAACATCTGGCAGTGGCAGCGAGAAAAGCTGCAAGAGAAGGAAACTATGTAACACAATGAAGTTAGCTGTAAACTGTCGTGAACCGGAACGCCCAGTGAAAAGCAAGGGTAAAGTAATCAGGAAGATTGAAGAACAGCAGCACTGGTGTGTAGAACACTTTGGAGGACTCTTGAATCGGCCAGCCCCGTTGAACCCATTCGACGTCGAAGCAGAATCTGAGGACCTCCCAATTAATGTTCGCCCACCAACAATCGAAGATATCAGTATGGGCATCAGGTAAATCAAGAGCGGCAAAGCAACCCGACCTGACAACATTCCGGCAGAGGCACTGAAAGCTGACGTAACATCGGCTGCAAAGATACTCCACATTCTCTTTAGCAAGATTTGGGATGCAGAACAAGCACAAACAGACTGAAAAGAAGGACACATGATCAAGATATCAAAGAAAGGCTATCCCAGCAAATGTGAGAACAACGGAGGCGTTATTCTTCTCTCAATATCTGCAAAGGTCTTCAACAAGATTTTGTTAAACGGAATGGTGGAATCCGTGGATGATCAACTTCGAGACCAGTAGGCTGGATTCCATAAGGACCGACCGTATACCGATCAAAATGCAATATTACTGCTCACCATCGTGCATGGTGGACGGTTTACTGACTCGTTCCAAGTGAACACCGGTTTCACGCAAAGTTTCTTACTCCCATCCTTTCTCTTTCTACTGGCGATCGACCGGATCATGAAGACGTCAACATCTGGAGGGAAGCACGGAAGTGGACAGCTAGGATGCAGCTGGACCATTTAGACTTGACACATGATCTGACCCTTCTGATGCATCTGATGAAGATGTAAAGTCACTGATCGGCAAAGCAAGGGCTCATTTCTACAACTGAAGAACATCTGGAACTCAAAACATCTATCAACCAACACTGAAGTCGCAATTTTTAATGCAAATGTAAATACATTTTCAATATATGGAACGGGAACTAGGAGAACCAAGTAAGGCGTCATTCAGGAGATGCGACTGTCCATTAACAGCACTCTACGCAAAATAGTTCGGATCCGTTGGACAGGCACTATTAGGAACAAGCTAGTGTAAGATAGAACAAACCAGATTCGAGCACAGGAAGAAATCAGGAGAGAGTACAGAAAGTGGGTAGTGCACACGCTGAAAAAAGCACCCATTTGTGTCACAAGACCAGCTCAGACGTGGAATTCTCAAAGACATAGGAAAAGCGGAAGGCCAAGAAACACATATAACACCGAGAAATCAAGACAGACATGAGAAGAATGTATTAACGTTGGATGGAACTAGAAAGGAAGGCCCGGGCCAGAGTTGGTTGTAGAATGCTGGCCAGCGAGCCATGCTGCATCGGAATTAACAGGAGTAAGGGTAGACTAGTTCGCGTGTCTCACATTTTTATTCATCACAATCGAAAGGAGAATTATTAACAGATAGATAATGATCAAAGGAAGGAACATTGGAAGGATTCGTACGTACGGTGTAGTGAATCCACTTTTATGAAGAGGACGCGACTGGTTTATTAGAAGCATTCATTATTATAACCAACTGTACCAGTGGTTGTTTTACTGAACCTCTACGCGCTAAGTTTCTGTATATGTTGCTGCCTTTTTGGCCCCACTGTCTCGGTAATTTCGCCACTCTTTTCTGGCACGATTCAGGTATTCTCTCGATACCACGAAATTGCCAGCAAATATATTCACTTCTATGGATTATTTTATCTTCTCTATGACGGGCTCGTAATTAGTATTTATCATAGTCAACCGTGGCTTGAGGCGCCACTAAAAAGTAATTCAAATTAATCACACAGCTGAGCGCTAGACAACCTATGGAGTTGGATTTATTATTTTTCAGTTAAAGTCATTCATATATTATATTATTAAATCACAAATATGTTCATTTAACATGTCTGATCCACTGATCAAGCTGCTATATGGCCGTCTGTTCTTTTGATCCTGATAGGAATAACTGATAATATACAACACATGAATATAAGAAGCTGGTGTTTCTTTAGTAATATAGTTAGAAACTCAAAATAGCAAGCATGAAATTTAAGACAGAAACATACTATCATTATACGACAGACAAACTGTATCCACACCTTTGAACTAGGCACAAGGCCCAGTCTTTTTCAAAAGTATTGAAAAAGATGTCACTATGGGCAGTCTGACGACCAAGTGGTGAGGAGGAAAATGATATTTTTGACCTTTCCCTGCTTTCGAAACCAGGAAATAGAACAAACACTTGGTTATGGCATAATTTTACCATCAGTTACATGTGTCATTTTGTTACCCTCAAAAATAATTATTTTACGTTTACTATCTGATAAAAATGTCCAGAATAAGTAACAGTACTACTGCCTCGATTTGATACTCTCCAAAAATCTGAAACAACCACAGTACTCTTAGCTATCAGACAGAAAACTTGACAAAACCAGATTCAGCCGAAAAGGTTATGTGCTCTCTGAAGGATGTATCCTGATACATACATTCCAATGATGTCACTCTGTTGACACACACAAACATCTGCACTCACTGTTGTTGATGGACTCACCACCATGTACTAAGTGGTAACGGATGTGGCGTTTTCTCGCCTACCTTCTTCTACAACACCGCAATTATTAATCGCTGCTCTGTTGACACGAGGCAATGACTCCAGTTGGTATTATGAACCCGTTCGTAACAACCTTGATGGTTTCTAGATATCAACAAGCAACTTGATTATCCGAGCCTGAAAAATTACTAGCCCACACGCATACACTTGACTTCGGCCGATTCAAATGTAGGATGATTATCATTAATATAACCATTTAAGGGGGTGGTTCAACAGGCTTTGTGGAGTTTGGAAGTAAATTACTTCCCACCCGGTGTAGAAATCCTAACACAACCTCTTCAGTCTTTCAAGTATTTATTCAATGAGCGATAAATACAGGTCCAACAAAGCAGTTTAGAGCAAACCGAAACGTGAGAAAGATGCACTGAAAAACTGAGAGATCTTATATCAACGATCAACACTTCTGATCACCCTTTTAAATTCAGGGAGGTTTGGTTTCACTTTTGTTCAAGTTATGGAATTCGCTGGTGGCTGAAGTGATTCAAGCGATTTCCAGGGGATCCCTTATGTGGTAGCTTGATTCTTAATATGCTACAGGTATTCAAAGCTTGATAGAACTGCTGTTTATGATACATTTTAATCAACGAATACGAGGAAAGCTAAACTAGAAATCAGGAATGAGAGGGTTTGAAGCCATAATTAGTTGTGATCGATGCATCGAGAAATAAGTGATTATATATGAATAGTAATTGAAAGAGGTAAGAAACACACAGTACTGAGACGTGATGTCGTGCGAATGCTTGAACGAGGACCTTCAGCTAGGATTCATTCAGGGAGGGCAACGAGTTTACTATCAATGTTGAAGACTTAGAATACTGGAATTTTTCTGCCGATAAAATTCAGTTATAATTTACCAATATAACTCCCTCGGAAGCATCAGTGATCCACTGATACTACATTTAGATGCCCGCCGGAAAAAGTCATCTTAATTACCGTTCGTAATCATTTGAAACATTTTGAGATCTTACACGTTAGAGATTCAGTTTCACATTAGCAGGTTTATTATCACACATGAAGAGCACTAAAGCGCTTCAGTGTGGCGACTCATATCGTCGTTAAATTAATTGGGACTCGATTGTTCTTGAAAAGACAAATTATTTACTTCTGTAAACTGCAATACTTACTGAAATGTTATCTTTTCGTCTACTTTTATGTAATAAATTAATGTCCAGAGAAAGTTTTGGTCGAACTACGGCGCAAGCAAAAGCTTTTTAAACAAAAGCTCTTATTCCAACTACAACCTTATTAGACCATTCGGTCTTGTTTGAGTTGCGTATCACGCAAAGCGCGCGTTTTGGTTTGCCCAACCATAGGGATATGGTTTTGGGCTTTTTGTTACTTCACTGTGGTCTTGTGGTGCGCGATACTCGTAAAAACAGCAAAGCAGCAGAGTACTGGTGAGGTTTTTGAATCTGTTACGTCGCGATGGACCGTTCAATTTTGACAGTATCGTCTAACAACGCAATCTCACCGAATTGTTTGAAACTTGTTAAGGTTTTGAACATATCAGGATATGATTAAACCTTTAGGCTTCTTCTGATGACCGTGATGCCAGGACCATAACTTCTAGGATGGGCATGACTGTCCCTGAATTCATGGACGTTTTGGGTTATTCTTCGAGTACAACCGATCAAAATAACTGCAATTCAAGTAGTTTGGTATGGCCCAAACATACGGAGTTAGGTAATGCATCTCATTTTTCTAATTTAAGGTATTCTAGAGGTCAGAGACCCATGGTCGGCAGTTTATCAATACGAGCCTACTGACATCAGCTGGTGCATTCGTTTTAAAGCCCTAGGGTGTTACAAGTAAGCTTCTTCATATTACTAAGTAAATTTAGTTTTGTCCCACCTCCCTTCACAAATAGATCATATAAAGTGCCAGAAACTCCGATACCAGCCCCCGATGTTAACAAAAACTTAACTAAAGTTGACCAGGTATCTCCCAACAGTAGGACATTTCAAACTCTCCAAAGGATACGTTCATCAGCAGATAAAGATAAATCAAGTCTGCCTTCAGAAACTATTACATTAGCTGAGCGTCACAAGTAGGATTTTTCATTGTGCTTGATAGTATACTAAAATTTCAGGCTTTGGGAAGATCTGTTGTTATCGGATAGCGAAGAAGAAAATGAAGAGAAACCAAGATTATCATCATTAAAAACATCCTCTAAACTTATTACTCTAGAGACACCAGTGGATGATGGCGATATTTCAAGTAAACCAGATGATCAGAACACGTTAAAGAGTTTTCCTATTCTCAATCATGCAATACGTCCACCACCACCTTTCGTCAGCCCACTTTCCATTCTAAATGGTGACTGTTCTGTAGCAGAATCTCCTATTCCAGTAACGGAAAATGGGCCTGTGGAATTCTCGCGAATTAGTGTTGCTAATCAACAAGGTTCATTCGACCCGAAAGTGTCTGTTCAGCATATTCCAGACGTCCCGACTGAGTCTGTTATAAGGTATGTTGATTTTCTCGTCAAAAGATTTGTTACCGTTTAGTAATTTTTGATGTGATTAGTCTCATTATTAGGTGGTTGGACTAAAATTAACTGCAAAGTTAGCTTGTGTTACCCAAATGAGGTATCGTTTTTTGCCATCATTGATTAGTACCATTCATTGACCACTTCTGCACTCATAAGCTATACATTTTCGGAGTCGCTAGAGATTTATTATAAGACATGAAGGGTTAAAGACGTACTCATGACCAAAACATCATATTCTGATTTTACCCAAATCAATCTGTAAAACTACGCTCAAAGCTATCGGTGTTTGTTACTATAAAGAAAAAACTCCCAAAGACCTCTGTATTTTGAATTTAGCCCACATATACTCAGCGTAAACACCACAATCTTAAGGTAAAATCAGGTTTGTTTACGTCTTCTTGTTTTCGGGATCAGTGTTTAACTATCGTTTGTATTATACGGTCATCTTTAGACTCAAATGAGTCATATATCTTCGCTTTCCTGAGTTATATATATATATATATATATATATATATATATATATATATACATATATATATAATTTCAACTAGTATTGGTACGAACGGGTATTTAAATGTCTATGCTCCACGCAAATTAATGAATTTATTTGTAGTCTGGAATACTGTCTGAGTACCCGAACCAAAGCATTTGGTTTTCTTAGTGTGTCTCTCCCAGAGTCTAACCTACAGGTCTCATCCGTAAGGCGATTGAGTAACGTCAGAAGATGCAGTCCCATGGTGACCAACAATAGGTTCATACGCCATTTTTTTCATCAGAATCTTGTGGCCCATATACACAGTTTGGAATGAGGGTTTTTATACCTCTATAACTAGATCCTCCAAACCCACTCATCCGGTTTAAGGCTTGCCTGAATATGATTATAGATCTTAGTGCACATTTGGTGTATTAACTACGTCTATTTTTGGGGTTAACTAGTTGAAGTAATTAAGAAGTTATTGATTGAGGCTGCTTGCCGTATTGCTGTGGTGCTTGGGTAGCTTAGGTAGAAATAAAGTAAATGGGTCGTTACAGTGGTCAGACAACTATCTTGATGTTTTGGTACTTTCAGTCCTGCTGGAAGTCTTAAACATTTATCCCCACTATTTTTACTACCCTCGTCACTACACAGACATGACCCAATAAATACTTAATTATACTGCATTTTTACCTATCACACGTGTACTTAGTCTGTCCGATAAGGATAGCATATATGTTAATATACATACAATCTTATCATTATTCCATGCTTAAGGTGCTTAGAAAAATGTCTTAATTCACGATTGCTCTCGTCATTTTTGGTAGTTCCATAGATATGTAACAGCTTGTTACTGTCATTTCTAGAATGATTTTCAGATTGGCATATGGTCCTATCATCATTTCACAAGTAAACGAATAATCTTATTATTGAGAAGTTAGTTTTGATATAGGATGGTTGCCGCTGATTTCAGTGAAATATTATCAAGAATATTCGATTGACCATGTCTGTTTTCGTGTTCTAATCAGGATACATGCCCACATTTAGAACACTGGAAGTGCTCCTTGGTTCTAGATTCCATTAAATAATAAAACTGTAATGGGAACCTTTAATCTTTAGTTGAATCCTAGTTTTACCTGATTTTGCTGTTTTAGTGTTCTGTTTTATAGTCCGAAGTATTTGATTAAGCTCACTTCATGAAGACTTACTGTGCCCTCTATCTTAATTCTCGTTCCACTGAGTTGAAAATTTTTATTTTAGCTACTGAGTCACTGGTTTGGGGAAATCTCTGTATAAAAGTTGAATAACTAAAGACTTTAAAAATTCTCTTCCGTTGCTACTCTTCAAGTTATTTGTTATGAAATCTAATCAATGAACCATGTTTATTTTCAATGATCCCATAATTGAACTAGCTTCCATCAGTTCTAATATTTGGCTCGCGACTTCATGGAGTGGCCAAGTTTTAAGACTAGTTAAGTGAGATCAAATGATTAACAACACTTGAATCTGATATGCATAAATAAAATACAAGATTAGGACCCATTATAAGTAGTTCTGCAGTTTTGGCTATCAGGGTCTGTTGTAAAATTCAGTATAAATAACAAGCAATTAAGTTTCCACTTTGGAAATCACAAAACCGTTTCAGGTTTAGTATTCTGCTAATCAGTCTTGGTCTGGACCAAAAAAGCATCTTTTCCAGACAGGTTATTGATATCCATTTTAAATGATTTTCTCCTGAGTTTTATTTTGTTAAATTATTCCAACTTGGTGTGACTGTCAGTGACTTTAATTAAGCTCATTTTTTCGGGCGCCGTCTTTGTTAGTGGTTTCACTATTTATCATTTTATATTATTCCTGTTGTTGAATACTCTGTGATTTTCAAGCATCCGTTTATTCGCCACGCATAAATATATGATTTTTGAGCAAACAATACCCACTTGAGTATTACGAACAACTGATGAGGCTTTGTAGAACTTTTTTCCTTAGAAAGGTTGTATGCCATTGTAAGCTATTAATATGCATACCCTGTAATAGATTTTTTCGTCACTTGATATGATTAAACCGTTATAACCTTGTCTTTACTCAAGCTAAGCATGAAACTCTCGTTATAATTTTGGATCTTACTAATGTTTATTACTTAGGCTATTGCATCATAGGTTTAGATTTTAACGATGTCCGATGTAACTTGAACATTGCCTATATAAATATAGTTGAGATTATTACTCTGTTTAAGCAATAAGTTCAGTGGTTACTGCTCACAAATATACAAAAGTATGATATTTACCTGGCTGTAACAGTGCATTATCATTCAGCTTCGCAAATAAAAACAATTGCAAGTTATAAAACTAGTAACTACCATTAACAGTTCCAAACCACATGTATTAGAACAGTCAAACGCTTTAAATTTCAACAACTGATTTGTGGTAAGTTAATAAACTATGATGGTTGTAAAACTAACAATTAGTCTGTGTAAAACATTAAAAATGGTTTGAAATGCACTCCTTAGTGTTGTCGTAAGGAACATTTTTGTTAGGACAGTGACTAATACTTTTTCTGTAGGTACTATAAAGATAACCGTACAGGAGCATTTTTGTGAGTAGAATTCATTTAATTGTACTAATGCATTCAACGGCAACTGTTGACCTTCAGACGAATATTAGTTTTATGTGAACATTTTGATAGCAAATAGCATTTATCTCTTAGTAAAGGTTCAGCACAAAGTCATTATTTACTTATAGGAAGCCTTACATATCTATAAGACTGGAACTTTGTCGAATCAAGCTTCTTTATTCTTCCAGGGTTACTCATTTCTCATTTTCATTCTAAATACTTTAATAATGCTGAACTGCTTAATTTATGACCATATAAAGCTAGATCCTCTCACAGTGTATTGTAAGGGGATCGTAGGATCTGCTAAAAATGCAAATACCTTATTGATACGGAACATCCATATATTTCAGACTTAAACTGTTATTTGATTTAATGATGCAATAATTCTGAACGATCTTTTTTGAAACCATTCGTGCTATATACACTACCCTCCAATGTTTGCACACTAATGTATTTCGGCTGACGGATAGGTTTGGCTGTGCTTTTAGAAAGTCTTAACATCGACGTCTGCCGTTTACTAAAGGGCCTTATTCAAAACTCCAATGAAGTCCGACACATCCGCTCTCCATCTATCGATTCAAAGGGCTTGTTTCACGTGCGTTTATTCGCAGACCTTGTGACATCTTCCAGTTTTACCGCTATTAATGTCACACTAAGCACTAGAGTCGAAGCAGCGCTAGTCGATAGAATTCCCATTAACAATTGATTATATGCTGTTAGATGGAAAAACTCCATAAAGTGAGAAAGCAGTGTCAGAAACAATTGCTCTTCGTTATCCTCGCACACGCCTCGATAGGTTACAGCTCATGCAATAAAAGATGAGTTTTATCATTAGTTAATTGATCTACAGAGGGTGCACTTGATAGATATTGTAGTACTAGCCGGAGGTTCGAATATGCAAGCTTGGTGTCTAGGCACAGGAGAGTCGTTTGGGTGACCAATGAAGACTTGTTGGTCACAGGCTAGACAACGGTCACCGTGTACTCCAAATTTGCATAAACTTTGACCTGTTTGTGGCTTACTATGGACTCAGTTATCACGGATGTACTAACTGGCGTCCTTCCTCTTCATCTCAAGCCCGGACTCAGATTGACTACATCGCAGTCGGCTAACGCTAGTGTGGTAGTGTATAAGACTATCGCTCCTTTTGGAGTAGTTATCTGGACTGTAGTGATACCCTTGTTTGCCATAGTCTTATCTTGCATTTCAGTGGCCAACAAATTCATCGTCCTAAACGGATTAATGTCAGTAAATTAGTTGTAGCTTCAGTTGCAACTATGTATCAAACCGAGCTAGGTTCAAGTTTAGCTATCGATCCAACTGGATGACTCCATAAAAACTGCCAGTAAAGTCGCTTGTGGCTTTTAAAATATCTTGCTTATATGCACTGGGTTTCTACAGACTTCTTACAACTGGTTAAGTCACATCCGTTCATCGTGGCTAACCGCAAGTTTGTCGATAAAACGGGGATTCTTACACAATGGAATTATATAAAGTTTGTTTCAGGACCCAGAAACCTAGTACTTTAAGTGTGCTGGAAGTTCCTTCAACTTTCACCCTCACAAAAACTACAGAGGGTTAAATCTACTTCTAACTTCTGTTAATTTCCGGCCTACAGTCGTGTTTATTCATATTAGGGCCACCTTCGATTCGTTGGGTATAACTGTTGTCTGGGATAGTCTCTCGAAAAAGAGTGTGCCCTAGAAGTTTAGTGACACTCAAAATGCCCTATATACAAATACTTCTGGTGGAATGAGTACATACAACCACTTCTCTCCATTGTCCCACCCCAATATTGGATAGACAGGTCCTCTCAATCTCACCATTCCTCTTTAACCTTACTATTGATAACTTTCTGGGAAAGTAGGTAATGGTGGTGTGAATCTCTTACTTGGAGAACTTTTCGACATTGAATATGCAAATGATATTGTCTTATTGTACCATGATACTCAAACCACTCCATTAGTTGGCGACCACTGTCCTTAGATATGGCATATACTTCGCAGTTTCTGAGTACAAAGTAATTTTACGAGACTGTTCGGAGTTTATGCGTGTACTCACTTTTTGCATTGAGCCGTTAAATGTAGTCGAATAACTCGTATATTTGGGTAATTGTATAAATGCTGGTATTAACCTTAATAACGAAATCAATTCACTCATAATTAAAGCCAGTTTAGCTTATCCTTGTTTAGTCGATCTTAGGCACTGTCGTCATGTTAGTGTGGCTGTAGAAGACTGGATTTACAATACGTCACTAAGAACAGTTTCACTCTGCGCTTGGGAAACCTGGCCTCTCCCAGTTGATGTTGTGTGTAATCACGGTTGTCTACAAAGAATTTTTGGCATTTAGTGGCACTACCATGTTAGTAATTTGGAGGTTCGGCAACCTTTGTTCGGGCAACGTGACGATCCTTAAACTGTCATCTCAAAACACCTGCTTCGATAGCCTGAACAAGTGCTACGAATGCCTTCCCGGCGAATTCCACATCGTACCTTATTTTCCGACTTTGGGGCTGGTTAAAACAAGGAGGAAAGGTGGTTAGTTTGTAACAGTCTGATACAGTATATAGGGAAGCCTTACACGACTGGCATCTGTTGGTCCTTCACAACTTTTGGGTTCAGGTCTTAGAGATAGTGCTACACAGTTACTTGAGATGTTATCAGATATGGCTTAGAACAGCGGTCATGCTGTAGTTTTCTTTTACGCCATAAAAATGTGCGAAACATTAACTGAAAGGATTTTTTTCTAGTTATGTTACTATTGACTGAAGTTCTTCCACAGTTTCCTTACTCTCAGTTACTTATTTTCATTCATTTGTCGTTTTTTTGTATTGTATTTACTTCATCCCCGTAGCTCTTCAGTCTTGTTTTTTAATTATGTGCGCAAATGTCCCTAGGTAAACGGAATATACCCATTGCGACATAAAACAAGGAAGGTTGGTCCAGTGAAGAGTCCTCTTTTCGGCGAATTCATTGTTAAAGTTCTACAATTGCGAATATAGACTTTTTTTCACATGGTGATAATTAAGATAATAGTGATAATAGTGCTTAACATGGCAGTAGTGGGGCAAGTTAGATAAAGGTTTAAAACGTTATTTTGAATAAGAGAATTATGAATAATATTGTTGTTGAGGACTGGAATATTCATCATGAAGATTGACAAAGAAACTATAATGGGAGAGGAAAGATTCAGTGTGATCAGATAAATGTTAAAATTGGGATGAATTGTAATCAGGATAATCGAAGAAACAGAAATAAACCAGTCGGTGGTAAAAGGTCTATGGAGAGGAAGATGAAAGGGTAGCACATGGTTGTAAGAGAAGAGAAGAAATTTATTTTATTCTATTTTTACGAGAGATTAAGACCATGGTAGAAGAGGCTGTTGTACCAGTTTATTCATTACACATAATTCTGACTTTTCCGGACGTACGGCAAGTACTTCGGCAATTCTAAGACGCCAGCAAACTGCCTCTGACAGCTACCTACTCACCTTATAGATGACTTTGAACGGATAATCCGTTTTGACCGAATGACCTGTGTTCAAAAGGTCATTATTGAGCTTCTTATTTACCCGTTTCCGTCTCTTCAACTAAGCCGATAATGTTATCGAAATCGTTTGGTTAAAACACGCGTCGAACGTCTCGAGAAACCTAGCCGCAAAGTTGCTGCAAACGATGTTGTGCTGATAGAGCCTGAAATTCGTCTCTTCAGTATGTCTGCTGCCAAACCACCTTTGAAATCGATGTTCATATAGATAGTTTTCTTTTCTACAGGAGATATTAATGTTTTAGGAGGCTTGGGTTTTATATTCTTGTCAGTAAACTTCTGATAACCGTTTTCGGTAAGTATTTCCTTAAGAAGGTTCAATTTTCCATCTATGACCTTCGGAATACAAATTTTTGTTATTCGTGTATCAAGGGATATAATTAGACTTTACTATCGACTAATGGGGAACCAACTGTGAGAGCTAGGTAGCTGGCTATTCTATAAGTATTTCCTGTAGGTAGGTTTTCTTACAGCTTCATCGTGTTTTCTTGTCATTTCGACGTCAAGAAAGTGAATAATTTATTTTCTTTTCAAATTTTAATGTAAAATTTATTCCAGCGTAACAGTTAATAAACGTCTTTAGAAAATGATTCAAATCATATTTCTTTTCACAAGTGATAAAGATATCGTCAATTATACCTCTTAAAAGTCTGAGTCTGTCAGTAGTTGTTTTGAGTTGATGGTTTACCAGACCAGCCATGAAACAATCTGCTAGTAGTACACCAATAGGGGATCCCTTTGCTATGCCATTCCTTTGTCTGTAAATTGCGTCATTGAATGTAAATTGCGCTTTAAATGTACATCGTAATAGTAATCCCTTTATGATTCTAGTAGTCCGATATTAATCTCATTATCTTCAATAACATTACCTAACTTGCCTCACTATTACTATATTCGGCAAAGTTTTAATTATCACGTTTTTTATAATTATCACGTAAATTAAGTATATATTTGTGTTTGTACAGCCTTGAAAATGAATTCGCTGAAAAGACTATTATTATTTATTAACAATATTCAATTTGATTATCCTTGCTTCTGGAACTTACGCTGAGTTTTAGTCAATCTGAAATATATAAAGCTTTTTTGTTAAGTTAACGTTTGGAAGTTGATTGTCGATTTGGTAAAAGTGACAACTTAATTTAGTTCCTTAATTAATATCAAGTATCTAGTGGTAAATTATCCCGTCAGTCTATTTTGTATCAAAATGAATTCCTAATACAGAAAATTGAATATAGTGAGAAACAATTGCTTACGTCATTTTTTCCCCACCGAAGTGATGATTCATTAAACTCATTTATATCTGCCTGTTCATATTTAGAGTTCGTGCTGATTCTTTCTTGTTGTAATGATCTATTCCCAATCTTGAAGAAATATTTCTCATTCAAATCTCCATTATCTATTGTTACAGCCCATGGCTGGTCATTCATTTACTATATCTTCCAAGAATTTTATATCGCGTACAATACAGCTCTTTATTATCACTTCATCATGTATTCCTATGCCTTGTTTTCCATCTGATTTTTAGCTCACATTGAAGAGTTGGTAATGCTGACTTTCGAATATATAGTCTACGGGACTCAGCGATTATACTCGTACATACAAAGTTGAACTGCGTTAGTTTAGTGTTAAGAGATTATTATTAATAATAATGATAATAATAGTAGCTTTATTCAGTACCCTATGGTTGGTTGAAATAAAAAAATTCTTGTTACAAAATGTACCATACTGTCATACATTCATTTGAAACTATTCAAAACTTTATTAAAATATTTTTCCACAGTTTATCTACTTTGAAAATTTTTTGGCCAGTTCTGTGTCGTACAATATGTTTAGCACATGAATCTAAATGTATTCTTCACTCATTTATCCAAAGAATAATTAGGAAACAAAACCGTACCATTACAGTGTTTTCTCTTGTATATTATGGTATTTGGTTTCACTGTAGGTTGTACTTTTGAAATAATTTCTTCAGTACATTTTTTGTTCAACACGTAACACTAGTTTCGCTAATATGGATCGATCCGACTGAATAACACATTTTTCAAATTAATTTTTTATTATCATATGCTTTATTTAAAGCCTGATGCTTTTGAAAGTTCATTCTGTCTCCTATTGTTTACATGCATTCAAGTACGTTCAATTATCATAGAGTTACGATAGTAATTGTTCCTAATGGAGGAGTATGAATCTATTTTTAATATTAAACTTAAGATATTATGCTTAAATAGTAAAAGGAGTTTGAAGATATTCACAGCTACCAGAAGCTAACTTACAGTTATTGACTACTAATAAATACGACATTATTATTGAAATAAGAAATGTATTTTGAAAACGTTATATTAAAGCTTATGCCTTTTATTACTTCTATAAACTAGCAAATCTGAAAAGTCAATGTGCTTATCTGCAAGTCAATCGCCTTCTACAACTACAGCCAATCCATCACGACGACATCTTACGGATGACCTAACAGTATCAATTCCAACAAACGTTCCAAGCGATTATAACGATTTTACGAGCAAGTCGACAACAGTTACAAGTATTACAACTCCAAAATTAACAGTGATGCCTAAGCCAGTTTCAGTCCTGAGTGGTAAATTTAATTCCAATCATGACAGCGTAATTAAGCCACGTACTGATCCAATAACAAATACAGCAGACGAATATTGCAGTGAGCATTATAAGCGCCCCGAAGCCAACAAGAATTTCATTCAACGTTTGCTCTTAGAATCAGGGCAATTTCTAACTCAGAAAGACTGTCTTATTACAGAGCTTAGCCCCATCCACCACAATGAATCTGTTAGTATATCTACAAAACCATCTCAACCAGAAAGAGAAAAATCTGTGTTTACTGAACAAAAGTCAGAAAACGCAACTAATTCCCTTATTACCAATCGAACACCATCAGATGATTCGAATTTAAAAAGTGATTGCAAACCATCACATGAATGTACTCGATCAGATAATAAGAATATAACACCTCAAAAATCAAAAATAATAGACCACCAGTCGTCATTCCAGGCAAGCTGTAGAAAGGATGCTGAAAAAGCAGATGCTCGAATCGAAAATAAAACTTCTAAACTTAATTCTACTTTTTTCTCTCAGGAAGGATTGAAAGAATCACCCACTAACCGTGATTCTCTTTCGAGTTTTTCAGGTCTTAATGATGAGTACGTCTCACCTATTGCGAACGTAAATACTGGATCGGTGAAACCTAAAGACAAACTGGAGAAGGTGCTCAACTTATCAAATAATATTACATCCACAGAAAGAAAGACGAGTACTAATGATATACAAAGTGTTGTTGTAAATATGGATGTGTCTCATACCGATATGAATAGTTTTAATAGTATGCCGCCACCAACCCACGATTCTACTGGTAAGAAGCTAAAAAGGCGTTCAAAATGCAGTTCAAAACTTAAAATATCCAAGGAGTCATTTACTGCATCCAGTTCTGAGTTATCATCTTTAACTCATGAACAACCACAAAATGATTCTGATATGAAAAACGACATCGACGGCTCTATTTGCCTAGTTCAGGATACTGAGGATATATATCCCCTTCGTGATGTCCCATCTGACCGTTGGATATTTTCTGACTTAACCGTTACCAAAGTTCGTAATAAAATACAACAGTCTTTCTCGCTTGCTAAGAATGAGGAGGTTCCCGTTAATCTATCGTCATCCGACTGTCATTTGATTAAGAAAATGAGAGATATTTTACTGAGTGCTGTCGAAGATGACAGTCCAATCATCTCCAAGATCAATCAAAGTAGACGTAATCGTCCCCGATCACTTATGGGCATTTTACTTGTCCCACCACCCAGTTCTTTCAGTGTATCATCTAAAACGAGGGTATCACCTCATCTATCAGAAGAACCTTCGTCTCATAAGAGTTATCATGATATTTGCACAATGACATCGCCTCATCTTAATCAGACTACCATCTTAAATGATGCAGATATTCAGTGTGATATATGGCCTAGCAGTAATAATAATAATTTGATATCTAGTCGTTTTGTTTCACAGTCTTCCAGTAGCATCATTAGCACTCCTACTCAAAAGCCTCTAGGTACTGTACCTCCGATTCTCCGTGATCCAGTCTGTGATCTTACCAGCTTGTCATCAAATATTACTCAGAATTTACCGCAGTTAAATGGTCAGTCGCTCCCTTGTATAAATCTCTCTGACAGTTTGCTTTTTATTGAGGAACAGTTTGGCAGGATCATCAAACAGGAGGATGAAAAGTAAGATGCTACTTGTTGAGATTAGTTGTCTTATTATATATGATTTCAATTTCTTCGTGACTAAAATCAGCTATTCTTTCCGTATGTTATTTTAACAGTTTCTAGCATTTAATCTCAAGACATATACGTCGTTCTATTTCGAGTTTACCGATATTTTATGTTGATCCACCTATGTATTAGTGTCTTCAACGATACTAAAAACCAGTACTCATCACTTCAAACAGAGTTATCTGATTGTCAAAGTACAACAGTCATCTCTTATTATAATGAATACTTTTCTCTAGCGTAATTTATTGCCAATTTTCTGAATTTAGTAATTCTAAGAAGAAACGTTATAATTCACTGCAATTACTCTAATTACTCAACAGTTTCATACCTAAATAAAGTCGTTGAATCTCCCTTCACCTTTTCATACAACATAACTAGATTCAAGCTCACCTATTCGCCATTCCATTGGGTAGTCGATTGGTGATCTGTATTTGATATTACATATCTGTATCAGATATCAATCGAAGCTTTTTATGTAATATTTATTTCTCCTGAATGTGATGTATGCAGTAACTAAATTATCATTGAGGCGCTCCAGTGAAACATATATTGCAGTCTCTATCTGTTAAAACTCAGTCATTTTCTGTGGTAATTGCTTATTACCATCTGTATAAATGTTAAGTATAAGGGAATACTCTTTAGTGAGAAAATATCTATGTCTTTCATATTATATTATCTTCGCCTAACAGCGAACCCTCCTATCAGCAGTTGAATCTTAACTGCATTCTGCTTTTCAATTATTTTGTGAGGCATTGTAGTGTTGTTAGCCGGCTCATTAACGTTATAAAAACCTAAACTTGACTAATGAGCCACATTTATTTAATTGGGAATAATTCTCGGAAATAAAAACTTACTGACCAAAACTAAATTTTTTATGGTGTATCCGCTCTTAATTTCGTGATGGTCAATATCATTTTGTTTTTATGTACTGAAAATAAATATTGTTATTGGAACGTGTTTATTTTCACTAAACTGTTAATGTATCTAGTTAGTACAATTTTCCTGAATACACAAATACGGTAAACCTTTTATGCTAAACTTTTTATTCAATGGATTAGTTAAGATTGTAATATGTATATTGCTTATTTTATTTGTAATTTTTCATGATAGACTACAGAATAGTAATGCATCAACTGAAATATTCAAAGCAGAAGAATGCAAGCTTGAAGCATCTAAGTGTTGGAAATCGTTAGTTAGTGCTGTATCCTCTTGTTCTCGTGATAGTTCTGGTGAAGCACCAAATCGTTCACAAATGCTCCTTAATTTACAATCACTTCATGAATACCCAGTACAAATGACCCGATCAGTAAAACACTATTTAGCTGCTGCATACATCTTTGAATCGAAAAATGAAATACTTAAGGCTGCTGATATGCTTACTGAAGCAGCTAACCAAATTCAACATTGTGTTCGTCGAATGCATCGAGTTGAAGCAAAGTTAACTAAACGTCGTAGTCATCGAACTGAAGTAGAGAATTCTCCTGATCTAAATGAATTAACAGTGAAAGTTAAACGCGATGCTAGTTGGATGTACTTATGGTATTATGTTTTAATGCGAATCAAGGCTGCCGTTGGATTTCATACATATCGCCTAAGATTGCAGTTAATTGATACTCTACGTGAAGAGGTAAGTTTCTCTTTGCTATTGTACCGTTTTTTGTATGGTAGATTTATTATATGTGTATGTATGTATGTATGTATGTATGTTTTCTATTAATTAGCCAGTGGAATATATTTAGTTATAAGAATCAGTGCTGTCAATATAACGTATCCTCAATAGGTTTATTGAAGTCAAATTTTATTCATATCAATTTATTAGACAGTTTAACTAATCCTATTTTTGTTTAATCACTTGAAATACATCTGTAGTACTTCAATATAACCGTAAATAATATAACAACATTTGGTAAATTACATGACGAAATCCAATAAACACTGATGAACATTAATGAGTAGAATAATCAGTTGCTTAGATTACATTTTTTCATATATGTGTAAATTTTGTTTATAAACGCTATCTATATCTAGTTTCTGGAATTTTCTGTCGAAGAATGGTGTAGTAGGAAGTTTGTTGACACCTTGATGGCTCTGTTCACATACATGAACCTAGTGGGGGTATACAACCACTTCTTTCCACAGCGCCAGACCAACAGGTTCTCTCAGGCTCATCGTTTCTCTTCAACCTTCCATTCGGTGTCACTGTAAACAGTTCTAATGGAATTAGGTAACCGTGATGTGGGTCTGTTACCCGAAGAATGATTTTCCAACCTCGAATACACATCTTACTTAACATGTTGCCATTTAGTGTCCGTACGCAATCGAATTGTTCTGCAAAAACGTTAGTAGTTTACCATATGGTTCCGTAGTTTACGTTTGGAATCTATTGATGTATCACGATGTATCTCAGTTGGCGTCCTGGAGATCATCGACTTTATGAGATATCAACCATACAGAGTTCTGTCCACTCATTTTCATTTGCTTTTAATAGAATTTGTTAATAAAAGCACATTATCTGTACCCACGTTACTAGAAAGTTACATAACCCACAGAAATTTAATGCTTTTATACTATAATAATACCTTAATTGATCGACTATTCGCTTGCATCTTTTCAAGTAGTCAAGTAGTGAATTAAATTAACTACAGTACTGACACAAAAGTCAGCGTTAGACCTTAATCTATACATTGTACAATCAGACGAAACTGTTTGGATAACACAATTTAAAGTGGGCAAAAGGATCTTTAAACTTCTTCATCGAACAGTTTGAAATCAAATCTGTGTATTAAAAAGCTATTGTCTCACTTTTGAATGCATTTCTATTTGACTGTTCAACTAATCAAATTGGCAAATGTTTAGTATGATTATGAAATTATCGCTTAACTAACATTCGGTTATTGACTGATTTGTATCACTAATCCATTCATTCAGTTTGCTAGTTTGACAAATAAATATAGGAAGTATACATTGTACACGATAAATGTTGCTCTCTAAAACAAAATACCTTTCCATTTAGTAAGGTAAGCACTAACTTTATATGTATATATGTATATGTATATATATATATATATATATATATATATATATATATATATATATTCACGTGATCTTTGTTTCAGTTGCTTATTTCTGAAACAATCGATCTTATCGCAAGTTTGGCGAAACAATCCCTTATATATATAATATATATTACCAATCAATGGCCGTTAATTTTTTTTTCAACAGTGGCCGTAGTTTTATCTTTTCTGCATTGAAAAAATATGCAACATTTACATCAGGTCATGATTATTTCTCTTGTGTGTTTGCGTGTACGTGTGTGTCAACAAATTTTTTCACTTTGTATGATCAATTTGTGTCCGTTTACAAATTGCTTATTCGCTGTTCATTTAATTCATTGGCTGTTATTTTGGTATTCATTACTTCCTTATTTGATATTTAAAAATGGACAATCAATTGATTTTAAAACAATTTTAGAACAATAAAGGCTAATATTTTGTTCCGTATCATAAAAAGTAAACAAAATCAACTTATTATTTTGATTGACTGTGGTACTATTATCAGTTATAATACGATCTAAATTTTGAAACATTGCATCATGAAATAACTAGTATTATATCATGAGAGTTTATAATAAAGAAGCTAAGTTGTGACCAATCGTACGGGGCATTTTCTAATATCTTATTCTACTAGAATTGTTGTATTATTAATTAATAATTAAGAATGTGACCTGTGTAGAATGTAAAGTGTCTGCATACAACAACACACTAATTCACTATGAAACTGTAAATAGAATTGTGTAAAATCTTTTAGGAATTTATGTAAGAGAAAAATGTAGAGTTATATTTCATCGACTATGTTAAGCTTAAACGCTGGTACATTTAATTCGAAGTATATATTGTATAACAATAATAAAAATGGTTTATTGGTTAAAACCATTGGTTCTCAACTAAACAGGCACCAGTTGAAACCTTACTCTAGTTTGATCAAATTAACAATCACGCAAATAGCCTAATTCAAAAGCTTGACTAAATCAAACTGTATGTTAATAATTGACATACTTCAAGTTAAATGAATGTGATTTCCAATCGCATTTTTTACAGAGGCGGCACATTCAAACCCGGTATCAGCTATTGACTGTCAAGCTGAGCCGTGTTATCGATCCAGACCACTAGGTTTAGAGTCCCCGCAGTTTCCGTAACCAGTGTAATCGTAGACATCGAGTAACGGCTTAGAAATAGACACAGATGTGTTCACCACTTGTCTCCCTTTAAATTTTCAACTGTAAAATCATCTTGAACATTTTTGTTCCACCAATTCATTCTTTCGCATAGTCCATAACTATACTTTTCTTCTACCGCTTATACTCTTATTACTTCTACTGCTCTTGGATTTATACTTACTATTTTATCCCGTTTTACTGATAAATACAGTGCCTTAAACTGATACGCAAATGCGCCAGATTCTGCATTGTTTTGACCAATTGACTGACTATTGTATCTTGAAAAAGAAAAACAGATTTTCTAATTCTATTCGGGCTCATTTATTGTTAGAGCAGTTGTATTTCTAGTTCAATTATCAACATATTCAACTACATTGCTCGTAAGGCTAGTGATCCTTTTTTTTCTACCACAAACATTGGTTATAATTTATGCTTCATCATAATTATAACTACATTGTATTATATACTTATAAATATTATGCTTCAAAATAAAGCGTATAAACACAAAATAATCTAAGTATTTAATTATTGTACAACAAAAACATCCAAAGGTTAAAACTGTTACCTATCGCCGCTATCTTTTTCACCTCTCTTGCTTTCGCTACACACTAATGTTCGCTATTAATGTGTAGGCTTCATATTAGCCTGCGTTTAGGCTGCCTCCGCTCCTTATCGTGTTCATAGCCAGATGGGATGAGTTCCCCAGCACCTATCAGTTCAACAGATACTACTGAGATCCATTGTTTCTCCCTAATCTTATGGATAACCTTACTAGCAGATATCACTGCAGTTTCCACAGCTTTACGGATATCATTCCAAGCTGCCTCGAGTTGGGCATCACTCGCTCACATGCTTGACTAACTGGTTTTCTGGTTGTTCCTAGACTGGATTCCCAGTCTAGGAGAGCTATTTCTGCTCTTGAACTTAATGCTATACCTACATCAGCGACGCCAAGGGAAGCAGCAGTGAGGCTGCCAGAAACGCGAAGCGTGAATCGTGACAGTCCTTTATTTTGACAAGCTGAGGTCAAATAAATGACTGTACCTGGATCCTGTATTCGCGTTTTGGAAACGCACCATACATCAATGTTACGATATTCTAGAGTCGTTGCTAAGGAAGCTTTTTGTCCTATTTGGCACAAGATCCTGACATTAAAAGCTGCAACATATAGTTTAGAGTGGGCTTTCAGGAAACCAGGAATAATGTTTCGTGTATCTGAATCCTTAGCATTAGTCGCGCGAAATGATGAAAGTTCCAGGTCGTCACGATAGGCAAGCTTGACCATCACGTCACGTTAACACTTACTGTCGGAAAAATAACTATATTTGGTCCATAAGATTGTAAACACTTGTCACTATCTTTTCATTGTTCAGGAAATTGAGGGGTGATATTCTATAATTTTCTTTCCTTGAATTCCAGTCTTCCTTTATTATGTTTTTTTCATGTAGCTGTAAGATATTTACTAACGTTCACGGATAGTCGGGTTTCTTGCGCTTCTAGTTTGTACAACAGTCCCGATTCTTTAATGATCTTGAATACTCTCATATCAAGACAGAACATGATCTATGAAAATCAGAATACGTTTCATTAGAATAGTCCTAAATATTGATTCATTTAAAAAAAATCTTGTCGTATATACTACAAGTTAACCAGCTTAATCTATTTTATAAAATCATACCAAATTAAGGACAGGGCATTAGCTATGCCTCTGGTTGACTTTTGTTCTCTGAGCGAGATAGTTTGTTTGTGGCGCCCTCACTGTTCTTCTGAACAATAACCATTTTCCTTAGCTACAAATTTTCTCGATCGTCTCCACTAACTATATTATCTAAACTATTTACCGTGTAATACAAATAACGAGAAGTATAATATTTACTTATCCTCTATAAATCTTCATTTTTATGTTGTTTATTGTGTCCTATTTACGATTATATTTATTAGTAACCTCATTAAAACTTGTTTAATTATCGTTTTTCACAATTTATTATCTACCTAGTTTGATTGTCTGGTAGAAATAATTATCAGTAGCTATAATTCAAAGCTCAGTTATTTTTCTCGAGTTTGTTAGTTTAAATCATGTTTTCGGGGAGAATTTCATCTCAATGTATATTTTCTGTTTTGCATTATAATAGTATCAGTGGCTAATGTAAATTTTCTTAAATCGCTTGTGTTATACCATGAATAAACTGTTGGAATCTCATGTCAGTATAGGTTTTTCGAGTGAACATTGTCGTTTTTACAAAATTTAACTCATTTCATATGGTTCTATTTTTTTCTGCGATTTCTTTGTAGATCGATGCAAATCTTTCAGTAGTAAAACAGCACATTCCTAGCTTGACTGGTAGTATCGGTTTGCCAAAAGTTTCAGATAGTCCTTCCTCATCAAAAGTATCTTCAATCAAATCGAAAGTTACATCTAATTCGTCTTCTGAAACTGATGGTAAGTTAAAAAAATATTAATTTCATGTAAACTTAATAGTTTATTTGAATTAATCAACCATATCCTGTAAAATATATTACAGAACATAAATCATGAAGTATCTCATCAACTAATGATTTTATGATAATTCTATTGGCGATTACTTCCATATATCTTAAATCATACAGTTTAGTAACTCCTAACATATACTTAATCATTGATTGATTGAAAAATACGATTTTGCTGTTGATTTTCTGGTATCACTCTATGTTCCGTCAAAATGTTTGTGAATTCTAAGCTGCTACATTAAAAGACAGGTTTCATTAACCTGTATGTATGTATTTGGCTTTGGGCAGCACAGCATGAGCGATTACTACTGCTTAGTTATCAAATGGGCTGGATCTTGAGTGTGTGACTTATCTGACATGATTATTTTCGTCTGTGATGATTATATCTTTCACTTTTTTTTAACTCAATCAATGAGTATTTATAGTTGACATTCGGCTTAGGCATATCATAAATATCGCCACCATTCTCTCCTCCTGGAGCCCCTCTGGGCTCCTGCCGGTCCCAAGCCCGGATAAAGAAGGAGGGTTGGCTTAGGATTGGCGACCCCGTAGGAAACCAACTCGCTAAAAAGAAGAAATAATTCAAACCATTTCAACTCTACCGTGGGAGTTAGAAGGTCTTCATTTAGAAGAGTTATGACGTCTTATGGTGAAATTCGAGTTCCTTCGGAAGTCACGAGGCCGATGCCCCTTCTGACAACCAGACTCCTACCGCGGTGTCGACAGCCTGTGAGTAGCATCCTCCCTCGTACCTATAAAAGCACTCGAGACCGAATCGGTTACAACCAAGTCTCTTCTACACCTTCCAATAACTTTTATTTCATCGTCCAACCCTTCTTTCGCTGCTTTGTCGCCGCGCCACTGAAGCAAACATTTCGAGTTCACGAAAAATTATTCCTGATCTTCTGAAAACCCCGCTCTAAACTACATATTGGAGAATCTAATGTTTGAACCTTGTGTCAAATAGGGCGACAGGCTTCATTAATTAGGACTCAGGAATCCCGTGCTATCGATGTGTGTTGAGTATCCAAAATGTGCATACAAGATCGGAGTAAAATCATAAATTTGATTTCACATTGTGCAGATATAGTGTAAACTCGGTTTACGTTTCGTGTATCTGTGAGCCATGCTGACGCTTCTCGTGGCCGCGCTGGTGTAGGTATAGTTGTAAGTCGTAGGGCAGAACTGAATCCCAGTAGATAGTCACTTATGCGCTTTCCCACTAAATGGGACAATAAGGACTCGTAAAGATAGAGAAACTCGCCGTTGTCTCTTTGTTGTCTCTGCCTACGCTCCCACTGACTGCAGCTCGGACTAGATAAAAGATGAGTTTTACAGAAATCTTTCTGGCCTTCAAAAATTTAAGCGCTCTGATATAGTAATGATAGCTGGTGACTTCAATGCTCAAGTAGGAAGACCAAGTGAAATTGAAAGATATCAGGGTGGATCTTATGGTATCGCGGCCAATCGAACAGATAATGGCGATCGTCTGCTACAGCATTGCTCAGATAACCATCTATTTCTGGAAAATACCAACCTCAAGCATAAGTATAAACATCTTTTGACACTGCAACCCCCAAAGTCGTCACAACGCTGGACTCAAGTAGATCACATCGCCATCAGCCACCGATAGAGGGGTTCGATAGAAGACTGCTATTCGTTCTGGGGCACATGTCGAGATTCAGACCATGCTCTGCTGCGAGCGCCTATTTGTCTGCGTCTTACTGGACGTAGGAAAGACACTGCAAGAAAACCACCTAGTGTTCTACTTAATGATATCAAAGCTAATAATATATTTCAGGACCAATCAGAAAAACAATTAGGCAGCCAAGTAGTAAGCGGTGCCTTAGACGCAAGCTGATAAGAAGCCTACGCAATGACGGTGAACAATGGTGGGTAGGGAAAGTAAAGGCGATGGAAAAGGCAGCGGCGATAGGCAACAGTAGAAAACTGTTACTACTTATCTAGAAACTGGCTTTAGGATTCAAAATGTGAATGAGGCTATCTCTCTTAGACGCCTAACTAGAGCTCGTGAAGAGCAGATTAGAGAAAACCAGGCTGGTTTCAGACATGGACGTGGCTGTATAGACCACATCTTCACTGTACGACAGGTCCTGGAACACGGACACATTTAGGCGTCCTACAGTAGTTGTCTTCCTGGACCTTGAAGCGGCATTTGACTCTGTTGATCGTGAGGTTCTGTGGCAGCGTCTGTCATGAAAATATATACCAGATAAGTACATAACCCTTATAAAAGCTCTCTACTCGAACTCTGCAGGTCAAATTAGACCTTATGGAGAACTGTTATCGGAACTGATTAATAATTCAAGTGGTTTTTGCCAGGGATGTCCACTTCATCCATTCTTATTCAACGTTGCCACTGATATGCTTTTAGAGACGAAACTTCATTTGTCAGATAGTTTAGGTATAGACGTTCTACCAGGAGATTCGCTTGTTGACTTAGAATATGCCGATGACAGAGTTGTACTTGTTGAAGTCTCTGAAAAAATACAGACTCGTGTTTTGACACTTCAGGCAACAACGCAAGTATGTTCGGATGCGATCCTCCCTGTCGAAATGCAAAATATTGCTGCAGGATTGGTTTGCATCGTCACCTGAACTAGTGATGGGGGGTGAACTTGTCAACCGCCCCACTTATCTCGGGAGTTTCATCAGTGCTGATGACCTGGTGTCTAACAAAATCTCAGCAGGCCCGACTATTTTTGTCCGACTTGCTTCGCTTATGGAGTAGGCGAGATATCCGTTTGCTACTCAAAGGACGAGTGTAATGCGCAGCAGTTCTCTCCATCCTACTATATGCATGCGAAACATGGCCAGTAAGAGTTGAGAATATTCGTAGGTTATTAGTATCCCATTATAGATGTCTTCGAAGCATTGCTCGTTTATCTTGAAACTATCGAGTAAGCAATGCATTTGTCAGGAAGCAGGTGCTAGGTAAGAATGGCAGATCAATAGATGAAGTGTTGAATCTTCATCAGTTGTCGTTGTTGCAACGTGTTACGGATGCCCAACTACCGACTGCCTCAACAAGCTATGTCTTGTGGTGTAGGATTATGTTGGAAGAAAACTAGCGGCAGCCAAAAAATAACATGGCAAAAGTCCATGAAGTTTCTGACAAGTGGACTGAGCCATGTTTGTAGATGTATACTACCTGGTTGGACCACGCGAGATGATAATAATCGGTGGTTAGAGATCTTGAATGACATGGCTCGAAATTGTTTGCAATGGCGCAGGTGCATCCATTCACTCATATCCCAATCCTCTGGATTCTTCATCACTTTTATCTTTTTCTTTTCGAGTTTATTTCACTAGATTTTACTTCTTGAATAATATATGTTAACCGTAATCTTTCCGATTACTGCAAATATTTTTACTACCTCTATTACTATGGGGTTTGAATTGTCAATCACGTCTCTGTGCTAAGTTGGAATGGTAACTTGAACTGAAGTAATGTACGTTTGAAGTTCTCCCTTGTAACTGACTGACTGAATTCTCTGTATCGTAACTATTTTTGACTGAAACTCTTATGTTCCCTATAATTTGAATTCTAGGTTGTTTATACTGCTATAACTGACTACTCTTCTGCGATCATAGATAAACGCTTTCTTTCTTATTAGTGTAGTTTTTAACTCCTACCGTTATGTAGTATTGTAGTTGATGAGCCTTCCTATATATATAAAGCCTCATCGTATTTAGAAATCATACAACAACATTCTTCAAGAAATGCTGTTCTCAAGAAAACCATTGAAAAGAAATGTAACTATACGTCAAGAACTGTTTAACTTGGTATAATTTTATTATGACAATAAAAGTTGATTCACTTATGATTGGTGCCGAAAATTATATGTTTGTTTGATGTGAATAAAGTAATATTCATGAACAGTAATTACTTGGACTCAAAAATGTCACTTAACTTATTCGTTGTTTGATCATCTTATTGGCGGAAAAATCAATCCTGTAAATATAAGTGGGCGGATACTTTATTCTTGTACTCGGTGTATCAGTTCTGTGTCTTTTATGTTGTATGCCTACTTATTGTGGTGCGAGCTACTTATAAGTAGTATAGGACGTGAGTGTCAACGTAATGTCTGGCAGCAGAAGATGGGGGAAGATCAGGAAAGGAAGAGTTAGAACACAATGAAATGCATGAATAGTGACAATCTATTGATGTTTTGCAACTGAAAAAGTCCAGTTCATTATGATGAACTGATATTTTGCAAATAATATGGTTTTCCGATTTTACTGAGTAACTCTGTAATTTTCGTCAAATACAGTCCGTTTGCCCCACCTGTGTTCTCGTTCACTACATTATAATTCGTGATGGATTTTGAACAGATATATTCCTGTACACACTATACAGTGTTTCTATTAAATTATCAAGAAGATGCATTTAGGTGCCTTTAAATTGTTGTGAGTAATTCTGATACTAGGTACATGGATGCTATATTTATGAATCTTCATCAACTTATATTATCAAGATTTGTATTGTTTCCAAACCGTATTACTCAACGTTATTTGGAATAGAAATAGGTTAGAATATATCTAATAGTGACTATGAAACAAATGATATCAGTTTATAAAATCATTAAATATTTGACTACCGTGATTTTTTTGTTTTAGATATCAACTTCTTACTTAAGTCTCGTGATATTATTCTAATCTATGGTTAAATATGTAGAGTTATATAACTTAAAATGTGTGCTGATGATGCATTTATATACCATTTGTTTCTACCTTAACATCCTGAGTCTAATGTCATTCTATACTCTACATCCTTTCGATCTCACTTGTTACTGTTGGACCTTATTTCTAATGCTAAGCTTCCAATTACAGTTGATATTTTCATTCTTATTTCTTATTCTCATCTTTCTAATTGTATACTCTCTATTTTTTTTCATAGAATAGGTCTTTGACTGACTGAGTTATACACAAAAATGTGAAGTTCTTAATATTTCTATTCTAAAGAATAATCTAGTAGTATTTTCTTCTCCAATTTTAGATTTGAAGATATTGGAATCTTTAGTTGCTCAGTTTGTTCGCTTTAATCAGTTGACATCATGTGTACATAGTGCAATGATAGAATGGCAGCAAGCTGATGAACTAGTCACAAAAGTTCCATATTTAAAATCACCCGTTGGACGTAAATCAGAGGGTTCAACTGAAGTTGCAGGTTACACTTCGTTTTCAGGACATCTGAGACCAATCCATTCCGTAGATATTGACATTGCTAGCGCATCAGAAGGAGCATATATTAATACTTCGCAAATTCCTATCCTAGTATTGTTACGTTATATGGACGGAATTTTTCATGTTCATCCACTTATTATTGACCAGTTAAAATATCCCTCTGGACAAGAATCAGTTCAATCTATTTCGCTGAAAAATAATAGTTTAAGTGAAATACGGAATTCCACCTCTGTTTCACAAGAACAAAAGCTTCCCAACTCAAATCCCACCTTGATAACTGATTCAACTCCCCTTACTGGCATGGCCTTGTCGACGGTCAGTAAGACTCCCAACAAACAACGACAAGAACCAGATAATATTGCTCAATCGAAATTTGAAAATACTGTAGCTAATAACATTAATATTCATTCGGAACCTCCTAGTTCTCATGGCATCAGTGAGCGGCTTTTGAAAAAGAAATCTCACAATAAACACTCTTCTGGTGTTAATCCATCGCCAAATTTAGTTGCTTCGTCTGTAGTGAAACGCTTCACACCTCATCATTCCAATGCATTAGACGAAAACTGCTCTGATGCTTCCATACCTTCCTCTAAGCATGACATATCTAATGCTCCTAAACGAAAATCCAAAAGACGACGTTTACTACAATGTAACGAGTCAACAGACACATTACCCTTACCTATAGATGCATCGTCAACCAATACAGATACCGATTTGGATAGTTATGGTCGATCAACTACTCTTGGTAAGTGCAATGAATCACCTGGAAAAAAATCCAATAAGTCTAAAACTATACATAAATTAAATAATCCTGAATCAGGATGCTTTGGAAATCAGAAACCTGATTGTATCGACAACTCAAGTTCAGTGGAACGTAAGCTACATGTAGACGATCATTTATTTTCAAAGAAGAAATCAAAACGATCGCATACACACTCGAAACGTTCTAAACTTAATTGTGATGTTGTTTCACATCCTTGTAGAATTATTGCTTCTGATGATCAGTCGCCCAGTACTTCTCCTCCTCCATCAAGAAAGTTTTGTCGCAGCAGGAGTGTAGCACCTACTGCACCGAAATCTAGCAGTCACGTCAGCACACTGTCAAACGTACCTAATCTAAACTGTCCTGTTTCAGTGGAAGATAATACTTATCAACCAAAAAGGATTAAACCATCGCATTCTAAAGTACATGGAAGACGTATTTCTGATTCACCTGATTCTGACTCTTTTCCGACACCGACCTATAAACCATCAGTCCCCGTCGACCCCCCAGATGCAATTAACAGGCATAATCAACGTCGCCGTTCTCGTTCAGTTCATCTTTCATCGCCAAGGCAAAAAAATGCATCACTTGAAGAGGTCTCAAACAATGCTAACGTATCTGAGTTGTCACAAGACTCTATCGGTTATAGTCCAACCAAAAGAAGTCTTATAAATGGTGGCTCTTCAAATATATCACAAGCAAACAATTTGCCAGTTTACCGTGTTTCTCATATTTCCCCAAGCCCACCAACTAAATCACAACACAAAAACGGATCTAGTAAAAGTCATAATGACTTAGTTCGGTCTAAAACCTCTCACCATTCCAACTCTAAATCACAATCATCAATTGTTAAATCATCATCTGAAGTTCCATCCTTCTACGCTCGTTGGATCAAAGAGCCATCCAATACTGATCGATATCCTACTACTTCATCAAATAATTATAGTAACAGCAAAAAGTATCAATCACAGTGGTAGCTTGTATATTGAGAGATATAGTCCCTCTTTCAAATCTAGAAATGTTAATATTAATATAATTGTAAACCTAACTTTTGAAAATTATCGGTCTTTCATTACATAACATTATGTCATGTTGTGAATTGTATTTTACTGAGTACGCACTCTAAATTAACTCTTTTCTACTCCAATTATTTTCTGTTTTGAATGGTAAATTTCACCTGTATCTTACAATTTCTTTCTAAATGTATGATGTAAATCTTTTTGTTTGTCCTTTAATAATGGCTTTATCGATCCACTATCAGAAGTCATCAGGTACACTACAATAACTGCCGCATTTGATAATTCGAAGTACATTAATTTAAATTGACTAAATAATTATGTAACCGAATTGCTATACTGATGATGATGAAAAAAAATTTTTTTTTGTTACTACTGCCCTGTTTGCCTTATCCTTCATGATACACAGAATACTTTACAAAATATACATTTATATTTATTATTTGGCTTGATCGGACGCCTTATTTTAGTGTTTCAATTCTTTATACTAATGTAACAAGGATACTGTATACACACACACACACACACATGTCTTGCTCCTTGTACACAATTATTTTCTAACGTGTTTTCGATTCAGTGATAAAATCAGGGTTGTTTTCCTTATTTCCCTTGTGTCCTTACTTTTTCCACTGTTTTTTTTTTAAATATCTTCTTTCTTGGATTGTTTTTTTCCCCACGTGTTTCAGTGTAACTTTTCCTCACTAAGATTATGTCGATAAAAGACTGGTTGAAATAAATGAAGATTAAATAACAAACTACTATACATATATTTTCTTATCTTTTCTTTTTATTATTATTATTCTTTACTGCTTATTTCTTTAAAAAATTATTTTGTAGTACAAATAAGTTGGAATAAAAGTGAACGATATTCTATTTGATTTAAAAATTATTTTTTCATTAAGTTTGTTTGATGGGATTTAATATAAGTATGACACTCTAAAATTCCATGTGCCCTATGAAAAACAAGATGATATAGTAATTGTTTTTTTTGGCTTCAAGTGTGGTGAACATGAATTGTAAGTTTATTGAGTGTAATAGTCATTATTGTTGTATAAGATTCACTTGAGTGCATCATTAGTCGGTATTACTGTTGAATAATATTCCAATAGTGAATTTTGTTAAAACGAATATTAGTAGTTTTTTTTTTACGTTTTAGACTAGATAGATTTACCCTACAAAGAAAATGTACATTTAAATAATGTAAAATACTATCTAATCTCAGCGCGGACACAGAAATCTCGATTGACTTTTGCCAATCTACGTCATTTATGGCTATCCGTTTGCAAATTTAAGGGTCGAATGTACTGTGCAGCAGTTCGCTCCGTTCTCCTATATGGATGCGAAACATGGCCGGTAAGAGTTCGGGATATTCGTAGGTTACTAGTATTTGATCATAGATGTCTTAGAAGCATTGCTCATGTATCATGGGACAACCGAGTAAGCAATGCTGCCATTAGGAAACGACTACTAGATAAGGTTGGTAGATCAATTGATGAAGTATCGAAATTGATTCACCAGTTTAGGTGGCTGGGAAATGTGTTACGTATGGCTAACCACCGACTGCCTCGACGAGCTATCTTTTGTGGTTGGAAGATATTTAGGGGTGGCCAAACCAAAACATGGCAGAAATCCATCAAGTCACTGACAATTGAACTGAGTCATGTTGGTAGATGTAGGCTACCTGGTTGGGGTCCGCGAGACGAAAGTCACCGATGGTCAGAGACCTTTAATGACAAGGCTCAAAATCGTTTGCATTGGCGCAGGTGAATCCACTCTTTGTGTTCTCTCAAATTCTAATCTTCTGGATTCTTCAACACCTCTACCTTTGCCTTTCTAAACTTATCTAATTGAATTATAGTTCTTGAATAATATCTTCAAATCCTAATCTTCTCCATTATTGCTAATACTTCTACTATCTCTACTACTATGGGATTTGGAATTGACAATTGCATCTTTGTGCTAATGTGGTATGGCAACATGAACTGATGTACTTACGTACGAAGTTCTACGTTGTAACCGACCTGAAAATACTATCTGTTAATTATTATAATGTAAGAAATAAAAATTTTAGAATGGTGGTTAAAAATAATAGGGATTGATTCGTAAACAAAGAGAATATCATATTGAGTTAATTATTGAAGCACTATCATGTAAGACAGTATTCTATCTACATTTAGAATAATACTCCATCACATAGATAAGGAAGAGTCTAGTCAGGTAGTAGGAATATATATATATTGTTAAGTTTAGTGTAAAAATTTTCTGAACAGCCAATGCTTTATTCAGAATTATAAAAACAAGTAATTGTTATATTTTCTTAATATTCGTTCTCTGCATGAAAATTTCTTTAAACTAACGATTAATAAAGTTTATTTTATCAGGATGATAAAATGAATTATTCTATGATGTCCAATTCTTTTTCATCTTTGTTTCGATAAGGGTCTGTTTTTAATTAATGTATATATATATATATATATATATATATATATATATATATATATATATATATATATATAATATTTTGCTGTTAAAACATGTTATATATAAAACTGTACAGCTTCGAAAATGAAATTCGATAAACATTCGTTTTATTGAATTAATTATTTTATGAATTAATGGACAATTTCAAACAAATTGTTTAGATCCTTAGAATAATAGTTCAATGATTAACTAGGTACAAAGAAACTACTATTCACTTGACAAGAACTGTTTACCGAGTTACATCAAAACAGTTTTTTTCCATCTAGAGTTAATATAACCTACTAGAGAAGAATAAGCAAGTTGATATTCCTAAAACTAAACGACTAATCTTCTAACTTTACTCTGATAACTAACCACCCAAGTATTCACAGTTGATGCTTGGATACTTTTAAGTACATTTAAACGCAAATATTATGTTTCCATGCAATTGTTAAGGATCAGTATTGAGAATGCAGTTCGCTAGCTAGAATCTTGAATACCCAAAATAATAAAATGAACTTAGGTAGCCTGAATCCATTGGTTTGATATAAACAAATATCCTAGGTGCTAACGTTCACAGATTAGAGAGTTGCAAATTTGTGCTTCTTTATCCCACTTTATTTTCGATGATGTCAACCAGTAGAATGAACGTACTAGGAAATACTGTATTTATTATTTACACAACAACTGATCATAGTGTGCAATCAAGAGTAAATTACTAAGACATTAGCAATTTTCTGTGTAAGTATACGGCTAACTATTAAGGGACATTCTAGATGGTTTAAATACTCAAAAGGACTTTTTCAATAGCGATTAATTAATTATTCATACTGAGTAGGAAAAATTTTAAGTTTACTTGTTGTGAAGTAAGATTTAGCTACAGATTTCTAAATATACTTTGATATATCTCATATGTCATAGGTTTTCTAAATTATGCAAGTACTGTGCAGCCAGGTTTCTATACAAGAAAATACATTTTTGGCATAATCATACGTGAATATTTGTCTACTACTATGTATTTAATTTCCGCTTTTACTCATCTATTTATCCCTTTTCCTTCTTGAGTAGGTTTGCAACCGTATTTATGTGTGTATCTAGTATTTCATTGAGAGATCAAGTGTCCACTTGACCACTTTCATTCAAGTAGTATGGATCGTTGTTAAGAATAGCTAATAGACTAACTGTATAGTAGACACAAATTGAGCGTCAAAATACCAGACATCAGTTGACAGCAATGTGAATAGAGAAAATATTTAGTGAGATAGTTTCGGGTTAATGCATATTGTTAGTGGTTTTGTTTTACTTTTTATAATTAAGATCGGGAGTTGTGGAGTGTTTATTAGGTTGCTGCATAGTGATCGATCAGGAATGAATGTGAATAATGACTGTTCAGGCTGTTTATAACTTTTAGATTGTCAATCTAATTAACAGTTTACTGATCATTAAACTGAAATGTTCAATTATCTAGTGTTTTTCTCAGCATATAACTGATTAATTTTTATTCAAAGTACATAAAACACTTGTTCAGCAGTTGAGATTTGCTTGTGTTACAATGGTATATGTTCTATTTGTTGTGTAGTTCATTGTTGCGGCTAGTGTAAAACGTGTGGAGCTGCAAAAAACTATTCCAATATACAACTTAGCAAGACTAAATAAATTCTCTAAAGTGAATTGAAATTGATGAATATATCTACTTTGACACAATATATCGATGTAAACTACATGGTTCTTTGATAGTTTGATCAACCGTATACCTGGTCATCTGAACATCGATCTATATCACCTCATTACTTGGTTATTTTCCGTTTGTCATGTATATATATTTCAATTTAAAATCATCAGTTATTCATTTTTAATTATTGTTCTTACATAACTCGCAAATCACACTAAACTCATCTGATCAACACTGATTTATTATGTGATTTATGTATTTTATACCTGATACTCTAGTCTAATTGAGTTTCTTCAGGCTTTTAGTGTGTTATTATGTCTAAATTAGAAATGAAAAGGTTCAGTTAGCTTTTAGGTAAACAATAATTCACTAATCGAATTCATCATAGATTTTTGTATTGAACTGCGACCAGTGCTTGAGAAAGTATGTTTAAAAAAGTCATGTACTTAAACTCTAGAAGATCGACTAACTTTCTTGATTATTTTTTATCGTTGTTGATGATCAGGGCTGTGATTGGTCAGTGTTTGTTGCCGTATTTGCATTGTTAGTGAGCCGCCTCGATATGATGTTTATCATACGGCTGGATTCATTAGCTTAGTAGATGACGAGTAGACGTTAGAATCAATAGGAATTAAGAATCTCACTTTGAATATCACCACTGAAATGTAAGTACATCCGGCTCTTGAACTGCGTTTTGGATAAAAATTGCATTCTGCTAGCCACATACCAAGGATATTAAGACTCGTTTTTATTCTGATTCTATACTTACAACCTAGAAGCAGTATCAGTATTAGCCTTAATACTCAGAATTTACGATGCACTGAAAGTTCCACATTTTTATTAATAAATGACTTGGCTAATCAAGTTAGTGAAGACTAGTTATTATAATCCACAGAAATAAATCATACTTATTAACAAGACATTTGATTAATTTTTATTAAACCTGAGAATTTTGTATCTGATCCCAGCAAAATGGTTATTTGAATATTTTTATTGGAATTGTCTCCACCCTCTTGCTCTAATCGAAATTTTGTTTCTAACAACACATATATCATGTAGTTTTAGTATGATATAAAATTTGATTGGTTTGTAAATCAGTTTTTTCACACGTCTCTAGATTGATAATGGATTAATTTATAGTTTGTGTCATTTAATTCTTTACACTAGTTAACAATGAGATAACCTTTACTGAATACGGAACAGGTGCGTGAATTCACCGCTTAGCATTCAATTGTTGTATTGTTTTTATACAGTTTCATCTGTGAAAGGAGTGAAGTTTATGAAAATCAATAACTAGAGTTTTCTACCACGTAAAGTTATATAAATGATTGTGATATATGTCCTAGGTAGATAATGCGAATTACTGATGAAGTGGCTTTCACAATAACTTACCAAGACGTCGGTTAGTAGATTATAGATTCAGCTCAAAATATTATCGGAAGTTTTCGAAATTTAAATAAAAATCTCTTGAATTGGAAGGATAACATTTCAAAAAAGTTGTTCTGTTTTTACCGAGATTTGATTTAAAAGTTTTAAATAAATTAAATATCTGGTAAAACTTTAATAATAATAATGATATATTTGTGATATCCCAATGAGTAGTAGAAGTTGGGATTTTTGACATTTTGTGATTTCATTTAAGCCAATCTATCAGAGTAAACTCGTGTTAATTTAATTTAACTGAAGAATTGACTTGCATTAGGTCACTGTTTCACTCGTCTCACGGTATGCTTAAAATTGTTACGGGTTCACCT